TCAGGAGAAGGGACGGTGAGGCAGTAAATACGCCCGCCACTCGCCTGCCGGACGTTTTCAGAACGCATAGCAGGAGCTCAGCGGGGCCCCGTTCCGTGTCCTGGTACCTCACCCCGCTGCCGCACGCCAGAGGGCCGCCGCCGCGCTTCACGCTGCACGTACGCACGTCTGGCGCTGAGTTAAGCGGGCGGCGCAGCCAGACCGCACTCCGAGCTCCACGGAGCCGTCCGCCCATTGAGTGTGTAGAGGAGGGCATGCGCCTTCGACTCCACCAGCGGCATGCATCCCTTGTGTCTCTCCTCCGGATCGGCATCGGCGTCCAATCCACCCGGCGGCGATGCGTCAGGGTAGACGCGCGTTGGCAGCGTCGTGGGGCCTCACGGCGGAGGGGCAGGCCCCGGCCGAGGCAAAGCAGGGCGGCGGCTTTCCGCGGCGCGCCCGAAACACCCGTCGGGGCATCCCCGGGGACGCAGAGCGCGTGCCACAGCGGCCGGTCGGGACGTGACCGCCTATTCCCGAAGCCGGCCCGACCACGGAGGAAGAGAGAGGCGCGTGGCGTAAGGGCGATGCGACGGCGCACGTTTCTTTCTTACGGCCCCAATGGGGCGGGACTGAAACTTGGCTTTATGAATCGCAATAAGGAAACAGTAAGCGCCTCAAGAAAAGCGCCGGAGTTTTTCCTACGGTGATGAGGCAAACAAAAAAACGAGTTGGCGGCGCCTCGCGGGGTCGCCGCGGCCCCGTCCACCTCCACCGGTCAGCCAATCGTATGCGACCGAGCGGCTAAAAGCCAATATGATTTTGTTTATTGCGGTTTTCTTCGCAGGTTCTGCTGAGTAGTGGAATGTGTCCGTGCGGCTATTGCGCGCTGGAGGGTCATCCCTGCATCCGGGCCTTGGATTTGTCTGGCACGCGAGGCGGGAACGCCACCATCAAGGCCGTCTTTCGCCTTGTCTGCACTAACCCAAATATCCTGTTCGTGCGCTTAGACGATACAATGGTGGCTTCCCACGATGCTGAGGAAATAGAAGTCGCAACGGCATTTATTGCGCTTGCGTCCTTGGTTGTTTGCTGAACTGTTCGAGGATATTTGATGCGCCTTTCTTTTTTGATTTTTTTTTTTCAATTCCTTTCTTGCAGTGTTATGGTCGTGAAGACTGTTCTAACTATTATAATTCAGTGATATATATTTTTTCTGCTTTTGGGTTGGGGATATTTGTATTCTTTCTTGATGAATATATTTTTATTAATGTTATTAGTCCCCTTTTGGGAAGTCTCTCTCTCTCTCTCTCTTTTTGGAAGAAAAATGTTGTTGGAATTTTTTGGTTATGGGGAACAGTTTATTATTATTATTATTTTTTTTGGGCGTTTGTGTGTGACTTTGATATGTTGGAGACGTATGGAAGCGGAGAAGATAAATAATAAGCAGGCGCTGTAGTATTGTGTGAAAGCCGAAAGTATATTCCGTAAATAGGAATAGAAGAAAAAGCGATGGGGGCAATAAAATAAAATAACAAAAACAAAAAAAGTATATTAAATGTTTTCTGCCTTTTTATGAAGTAAAAAAAAAACAAAAAAATGCTTTTTGTTTTTTATTTACTTGCATTTTTTTCCCTCTTACGTTTGAAGAAGTTTGTCATGAATAGTTTTATTACAAGTTTCTGGTGAAATGTGCAAACGGATAGGCTAAACAAGTGGTATCGATTCCTTTTGAGCTCCCCCCCGTTTCTTTGTTTATTGCCTTGACTTTTGTTTCCGAGGACACTGCGCTGGACGACGATGCATGCATTTTTTTATTTTTCAAACTAACCCCCTACAATGACCCGTCACTTGGAGGGGCCTGGCGATTGCGGGGCACTAACGAACACCAGTTCGCCGCTTCGCAACGAAAGCCCAGGTTCCATTGGCGTATGCTTTAGGA